GGTATCTGAAGCTGGCTCGTAACCTGAATTTTAGCTCGCAAGTCAAAGCAAAAAATCAGCTGAGAGACGGCTCGTATCTCAAAAAACTCGTTAGTCGGGAAACTCGTAAGTCAAGGCCCCACTGTATAATAAAAGGCTAATATGCAAATAGACCACACGGCAGAACAACTGAACAACCTAACAACCGGTCGCTATGACGTGCACTGACCACCAGGGGGCGTGTGCGGAATATGGCGGGGGTTGGTCTTGGTGGGATGATGGTGGAGGTGAGCAGGGGCGCCAGACCAAGGGGGTGCCAGTCGCTGTCATTAGGGCGAGCCTCTGGTGGTTACTGAAAATTCTTTGCTCCCGCATACCGCGGTTCAGCCCAGTGCTCGCACCCGCTGCTGGCACCGGCCCCAATTGCTCTGCACCATCAGCGGGTGCATGCAGGGCTGGCACCGTCAGCACCTGGGAGCCGGAGGATGGGCCGAGACCTGCCCCTGTGCCTACCGCAGCCTCGTGGCCCACAGTTCCTTTCAAGGTGCATGAATTCGTGCACTGGGCCCCCAGTAACAGAATAAAATACCCAGAACTGGCTCACTGGCCCTCATGGCTCAGTGGTTGAGCACCGACCTATGAACCAGGAGGTCAGAGTTCAATTCCCGGTCAGGGCACAGGCCCAGGTTGTGGGCTCCATCCCCAGTGTGGGGTGTGCAGGAGGCAGCCAATGATTGATTCTCTCTCATCACTGATGTTTCTATCTCTCTCCCTCTCTGAAATCAATAAAAATATATTTACTTAAAAAATGCCCAGACTGGCCCTCCCACAGCTTCTCAGTATGTTAGTTACTGGACGGTTGTCCCGGAGGGAGGCGGATGACAGCAAACGGAATGTCCTGTTTCTGGAACTGAGGGTAAAATGAGTGAAGCCCAGTGCGCTCGCTGGTGAATACACGTATGTGAGAGGGGCTGAGGGCATTCTCAGGTAGGATATGTCACATTCACCGAATGTCACCATGAGCCGCGGGGAGCCGAGTGCTGCTGGTCACCGGGCACTTGGGAGGCACCGTTCACTGAAACCCGAGTTTGTAACTGGAAACAGGTCACGTTGCTTCCAAACCAGCAAAATTAGAAGCCAGTTAGAGGAACAGGCGCGAGGAGGCTTCACAGGCTCAGCCGTCGGGGGGGACAGGATGTACGGAACCCTGAGAAACCCGGGGGCAGCCACGCACGGCCCCCAGTTCCCCGGCCGCCGCGCTGCCCGGTTTCTGAACTCAGTGGACATCCGGCCGCCGGGCCCATTGTGCCTGGCCATTGCGGAGCCTGTTCCTTCCTTCCTCGCGGAGGGGATGTTTTGGTCTGGGGAGGGAGAGAGACTGCTTCCAGTCGAAAGAAGTGCAGTTATTGCTACAATCTCTGCCGCCAGAGAGAGTTCCTTTTGTTCCGACAAATCCGCCTGGAACAGCAGCATTCCGAGTTGTGCTACACAGGGCCGCAGGCGGGGGTCCGCTGGGGCCTGTCTCCTTATCTGCAGGGGTCGGTGTCTCCGCCCCTCCCTCTCCGTTTCCTGAGTGAATGCTTTGAAGCCTTTCCCAGGGTCTGTGAAAAGTGGCTGAACTCTAGCAATTTGAAGACAAGAACAGATTTAGGGAAAGGGGTCTGGGTAAGACTCAGCTGAGGCCCGGGGGTCTTCTCTCAGGCACTGTTGCTCCTGGAGGGCCACAGGCCTTCGGCAGGTGGGCTCCCTCCGACATTCCCCCTCCCCCACACCCCTCCCCTGCTGCCCCTGCCGCAGCCTTGTCCTTGTTATCTAGGGAGCTGCCCACAGGGACCTCAAGGGGCTATGGGGGGTGGGGGTGGAAGGGCTGGAGGAAACCTGTTTGTAAATAATAATGACAAAAGGATCAGCCTTTATGAAACCATCAGCTGTTTAGTAAGCCCTTTAGTGGCTAAATATAAAGTGTGGAGAGGGCATGATTTTCAAAATTAAAAAAAAAGGAAATCCCCCTTAAGCAGAATCCCGGAGGAAATTGAGGCAAAGCGGCTGTTTTACAGTTGTCACCTCTGGGGAAGGTGAAGAGCTGTGCCCTGAGGCGTCTCCTAAAAGGCCCCTCTGTCCCCGTCCACGGGAATGTCATTCAAAGATTATTTGAATTTAATGTAATAACATGGTGGAGCTTGTTTTAATCCTGTCAGGAGAGGCCTCCCTCCTCCCCAGGGGCTCACCCTGGAGGCCTCCTCTCCCCGCAGGTTCCTCTGATTCCTGCCCCATCACAGCGAACGTCTCCCCGTCCCCTTCTCCACACTGGCCTGTGGGGACACCTCAGGGGGAGCCCGACTGGAGAGAGGCCTGTGGCTGAGGCACAGGGCTGGGCGCCGACCCTGCTGGCCGAGACGCCCCTTTGCGGAGCCACCCGTGTTGGAGAAAACAGGCCCCTAACCCTGTGGGTGAACAGCCCTCCGTGGCCTTGGGAGGCCTGGGCCTCTCCACCGTCCAGCGCAGAGGGCAGCCGCCCTCCCCCAGCAGCACCGTGGTCTGCGCTCAGTGCCCAGTCGCACCCGCGGGGAAACACGTGGCCCAGTCCTGGGGTTCCCCTGCAGGACAAGCCGCGAGGAGCCATCAGCGCCGCATGCCTGGGGGCTCCCGGGCGGAGGAGGTAGGACAGGTCCTTCCACACTCCCGAGTGGAGTCTTAGGGAGGAAAGCGCAGGCGCCCAACACGTGTGCTCCCTGATCGATGGCTTCATGGGTGGTCCTCTCTGTCCACTCTCCTTGAATCCTACCTATTAAATGGCTTTTCAATAGCAGGTATACCCTGATGGAGCTGTTAAAGTATCAAAATTAAAAGTAAAGTCAGATCTCAGGAAAGAGTGGTCATGAGCCTAGAGGTTTGGTTCGCTGAGCGAAGTGTAAAAAAATAATAAGACCCAGAAGTCATCAGGCCCACGGCTTACGGACGTTTACCGCTGGGGCTGAGAAACTCGCTCTTTCTATGGAGGAAAAGTGAGCTGGGTCCCTAATGTGGTCCCGTGAAATGTGGACCTCAATGGGTCAGATCAGCAGTTCTCAACCTGTGGGTGGCGACCCCTTTGGCGGTCGAACGACCCTTTCACAGGGGTCGCCTAAGACCATCCTGCATATCAGATATTTACATGACGATTCATAACAGTAGCAACATTACAGTTATGAAGTAGCAACGAAAATAATTTTATGGTTGGGTCACAACATGAGGAACTGTATTTAAGGGCCAGAAGGTTGAGAACCACTGCGTCAGCTGGACATGTGAAAAGCAATAGAAGCAAGTGCAGACCATGGAGATCTGAGAACACGAAAGGGATTTTTACAAATCATGCAGCAGAACACGGGTGCACGTGCTCAGAGACGACAAGCACAGCACACAGACATGCAGACAGACAGACAGACACCTGCATTCGGAACATGGAGGCAGCAGGAAACCTGCAGGGGCACTGTGGGCCCTCCAGCCCCGAAGCCACCCTCCAGCCCAGGTGAGGGACAGACCAACGGGACA